ATCTCTCTCTCTCTCTCTCTCTCTCTCTCTCTCTCTCTCTCTCTGTCTCTCTCTCTCTCTCTCTGTCTCCGTCTCTCTCTCAAGACAGCATGAACCCAGCAGTGAATAGCTCTTCCCCAGCTCTCACCCAGAGACACCTGGCTCCCTCCCTTCCAGTGCACAGCAGTCCCCAAATCCAAAACCTTTGGAAAGGCAAGAGCTGCAGCATCTCTATCCTTGAGCCTTCCAGCTGTGGCTTTGCAGATGTGAACCCAGATGGGGAAAGGAAGAGGGCTGCCTGCTCTTTGCCAATCCATGTTTCACTCACCGCTGTTATACAAGAGTAAAAGACCTATTGGCCGTGATTCTGACTGGTGGACCAGAACCCCCAGCTCCCAGGACAGAAGACAGACAGCCAGGACACACCAGGAACCATGGAACACCATCTTAGCTCAGTGACACCAACAACTGCTTGAGTTCCTGGACAGCAATCAGGGTGCCTCCAGGGACCTAGGTGACCACGCCCCTACTGGCTGACACAGCCTGAGCATTCACTGCACAAACCATTGCTAACACATATTTGTCAGGATTTACTACAGACCAGAAGCTGCTCTTCTGTTTTTTAATCCATCTTACACAATATTCCCATTTCATATGTAAGGACATGGTGGTGACAATTGTGGTGTCATTAAGGAATTGAACTGTGCCTCCTCTCTCTGTTCTGTCTTAGCAGACAAGAGCTGTCTGTTCTTTGACAACTGTCCTGTGGTGATGTATTGTGTCCCCCAATATATTGTGCACCCTAATAAAGTTTATCTGAGCATCTGAGGAAAATGCCTGCCACTATACTAAACATAGAGTTCAGGCAATGGTAGCAGCACAAGCCTCTAATCTTGTTACTCAGGAGGCAGGGATAGTCTGGATCTCTGTGAGTTTAAGGAAATACCAGGAACCGAGCCAGGCATGGTGACACAAGCCTTTAATTACAGCTCTAACCGCAGAGATCTGGAGGTCTGTACAGACAGACAGGAAGTGATATAACTGAGCAGAGAGAGGAAGTAAGATTCAGACAGAAAGGTGTGGGTATACAGGAAGTAGGTCTCTTTGGCTGAGGATCTCCAAGTGGTTAAGAATGTGGCTGGCTTCTTCCTGCTATTCTGATCTCTCAGATACACTTTATTTTGTGCACAATATATTGGGGGACACAATACATCACCACACAGTCAAACTTACTTGAGAATGATTTTGTTCCTACTTAATTTGTACCCTTCCAAATAGAGAACTAAAAATTTTCCCTCCAACCCTAGGACGCTTTCATCCAAAATAAACCTTGAGGTCAGGGCAGTTACATTGCCATCATTGGGAATCTTCCTTATAAAGAGCTCCTGGGACATCACTCTAGACAATCATATGTCCCTTGTTCCCCTACATACCTACAAACCTAGATCTCACATATTCCAGAAACCTCAGATGACCAAGAGGTGACTAAATGTTAATTTGGCCACTCCTCATTCTAGAACCTGGGCTCCTTATCTTTACCTCACATTGACCCCACGTTGTATCCCCACATCTGGGACCCCCGTCCTTTGCCCATCTACCTCTGACAGGCAGCCCACTGCCCAGCCAGCACCTCTTCCGAGACTCCACCAGATGGACCACCCACCACCCAGCATGTACTGGGTCTCTCATTGTCTCTCTCAAGGACCTCCACAGAGCTCTGACAGCTGGATGTTCCTCCTCAGTTTCACCACAAGCTTTTTAGTCAGGCAGATTACCAGAGGCCTCTGCTGGGTCTGCCTGTCTACCCAAACCTAAAAGTCCACAGTTTTCCCTGCTCTCCAGTCTGCCTGGGTCTCCCCAGTGAGACTCCACCTAACCGACTTCTCCGCAGCTCATGCTCTGTCTCTGACCTCACAGATGCCTTAAACTTCCCCCAATGTTCATTCCTTGTTCTGCAGGCCATTGACCTCCTACAGCTCATTCACTCTGCTCCTATCATTCCCATCCTGGCCCCTCACAGCTTTCAAGTACACAGAACCTCTCAACAGCTCTATGGAATCTGCTCCACATGCCCTCTGGGGTAAACCTCTCTGCCCAGACTGCTCTCTCCTCTAAATCCCTTCTTTGAATCTCATCCTCCTTCTAAAACTCCTCCCTCAATGCCTTTGTGAAAAATCTAGCCTGGACCAGGCGTAGTGGTTCACACCCTTAATCACAGCAATTGAAGACACAGGTAGGTGGATCTCTGAGTATCAGGCCAGCCTGGTCTACATAGTAAAATCCAGGACAGCCGGGGCTTTAGAGTAACCTTGTCTCAAAAACCAAACAAAATATAACAAACAAACAAAGAAAACAGAGAGAGGGAAGGCATAGCTGAGTGGTAGAGTGCTTGCCTAGCATGTATGAGGCCCTGAGTTCAGTCCCCAGGACTGAAAAGAAATGAATATCTGAGAAAAGTTAGAACAACTTGCATTTTAGCCAGAAAAGTAGGACACTTAAGCTTGGGGTATTGAGATGGCTCAACAGTTCAGAGCACCTGCTGCTCTTGCAGAAGACCCAAGTTTGGTTCCCAGTGCACACATGGAGTTTATAACCATCCATAACTCCAATTCCAGGGACTCAAACATCTTCTGGCCTCTGCTGGAATCAGGCACACGTGCAGTGCATTTACATCTATGCAGGCAAAACACTCACACACATAAAAATAAACAAATGTTTTAAAACAAGGTAACAATAATAACAACAAAACCTTGGGGCTGAGGAAGGCTGGGCATGGAGGTAAAGGCTCATAAGTCCAACCCAGTTTTCACCTAATAGAGAAACCACAGCCTCTCAAGCCTTGGCTCATTAGTATTCCTTCCTTTTACCATCTACTTGTAATATACAAACTTTGCATGCAAAGTTGAGTTTAATCACTGAATGGAGTGGAATTTCACATGGGAATGGAATAGATTTATTTTCTTTAGATGCCCAGAATAATTTCCCCTTCTTTACACTGTTAGAGATTGTTCCCATAGGAGACACAGAGCTAAATTCCACCTTGATGTGAAGTTATGGCAGAATGTATATGTTTACATAGGTATGACCCTACATTTATTTATCCCATGCTTTCTTGGCTTATAACACACAGGTCATGTGATATAAAACCTTAACTGGATCCTGGAAACCTGAAAGAGCCAGAAACTCCCTCTGTGTTTCTAAACTGAAATCTCTTTCCCTTCAAGTCCCCCATGGCTGTCTGTGACCACAATGCTCTAGCTCTCCTACTAAAGCCCTGCTGAAGGTTACTGTGCCCTTCCTCGCTACTGAACCCGCTGTGTCTTAGAAGTAGGAGAGATGGACCAGCCATGCTGATCCAGAGGAAGAGCGGTCTGGGCTGAAAAACTGAGGGCATCCTGTGGGATTCTATATGGTGGACTCATGAGTAAGAATGGTGATCCTTTCATCCTTCCCTCCTTCCATCTTTCCCTCCTTCCATTCTTCCTTCCTTCTCTCCTTCCATCCTTCCTTCCCTCTTCCTTCCTGATACAACTTGTTGTTATGTAAGGTCCTTGAACTCTTACATTTCTTGCTTCTGTCTTCTGAGTGCTTCTATTATAGGTGTGAGCACAATGCCTGGCCAGAGAGACATTTTCTTTTCAAATTAATTATAGTATATAATTTTTATGTGTCTGGGGTTTGATTGCATGTATGTCTGTACATCACATGCATACCTAGTGTCCATGGAGCCCAGAAGAGGGTGTCAGACCAGCTTGAACTCAGTTCCAGACAGTCATGAGCCCCTATGTGGGTGCTGAGAGTTAATCATTTACTTTTTTAATTCTATGACTTCAGCATGAGCATCCAGTGCTCTTGAACAAGAAGCAATCTCTCTAGCCTGAAATTAAATTTTTTAAGATTTAAATCATTTATTAAATATTGTATGTGAGGAAAGGATTGCCTGTGAGTAGAGGATCCTGTGGAGGACAGAAGAGGGTGTTAGATACCCAGGAGCTGGAATTGCAGGCAATTGTGAGCCAACTGAGGAGAGTGCTGGGGTCTGAACTCAAGTCCTGGAGAAGAACCGTGTGTGCCCTTAACTGCTAAACCACCTCTGGAGACCCTAACATTAATATGTATTATTTTCATTTACTGTGTGCGTGTGTGTGTGAGTATTTGTGTGTGTGTGTGTGTGTGTGTGTGTGTGTGTGTGTGTGTGTGTGTGTTCACACCCATACTGTGCTGTGCACTTCTGTTTGTCTGTTCTGGAAGGTGATACCTCTGTTTTATGAAAGAACAGGATGACTTTCTTATTTTTCTGTATTCCAGACAGGGTTTTTCTGTGTAGCCCTGCTGTCCTGGAACTTGCTCTGTAGACCAGACTGTCATTGACCCCAGAGAACCACTTGCTTCTTCCTGAGAGCTGAGATTAAAGGCATGTAACACCATGATCTGGCTTTTTTTAAATTTTTCATTTGTTTTAAGACAGGTTGCTTTGTGTAGCCCAGACGTCCTGAGACTTGCAATGTAGAACAGGCTGGCCTTGAACTCACAGGGATCTCCTGGCCTCTGTCTTCTGCGTGCTGGGATTAAGGGTGTGTCGTACTGACTCGCCTTCACCACTTCTTCCTATATAAAGCCAGTGTTGCAGAGCCCACTGTACCGTGCACACATCCTACTTAACAGATTCTTTTTAACGTTTTTAATGTTTTTCAAGAAAATAATTTTGAGTAGCTAATTGATACCTTGAATCTAGAAGAAGAGAAAACACTATGCACAGAACACACACGTACTGAAGAGGGGACACAGTGACAAGAGTCTCTGGCTATAAACCAGATTGCAGCCTGGATAAGAAGAAGCCAGGTTCCCACCTCTCTCTGCTGCACCCAAGACATGCCCTCCATGACAGTCTGGATCCCTGACTGGATCTCTAAAGATATCTTCCTCTTGCTCTCACTAGCTAAAGCTTCCTCCTCTGTAATTTCATCTTTACCCACTGGAATCCTCACTTTCCTTCAAAATCCAGAACAAACACCACCTGTCATGACTAACCCTGGATGAAAATCAAGTCTCCCTCCCCCAGTCCCGACACAAGGCAGAGTCCTGTCTTCCTTCCACAGCCTCTTCTTCCATGAAGCACAGTGCTGAAGAGCTGCTGCCTCTGTGGACCTCACCTAATTTCTCACAAGGACACACACGCTGAAATAGAATCTGCTTAGTGGTTAAGGCAGCTGCAGCCAAGCACGAAGTCCTGAGTTCAATCCCTGGAAGTGAGTTTTGAGAAGCCAGGAGTGGTGAGAAGTTAGGGTGTCTGTTAGAGGATGGGGTCCCTAGCTCTAACAGAGATGGTAATCCTCTCCTGGAGAGAAGGGTTGGGCACAGGGAAGAAGAGGTGTTCCCAAAGACTCGTCCAGACAGGATACACACTCATCACTTTGCAGGTCAGAGCATGGCCTTGGGTAGTTGGCTGACTGTAAGGGGA